TTGCTAAGCGACAGAGAGATGAAAAAGAGCCAAGATCTCTAAGAACACAAAAAGCTGCTTCATTACATTCTTTTAATGTACAAAAGGTGGAATGAGCTCCCGGAGGAGATCAGGGCCCTGCGGGACCCTTTACAGTTCCACGGGGCCTGCAAGACAGAGCTCTTCCACCAGGCCTTCAATAAGGAGCCACCGCCACTACCACCACTACCATCATTAACAACAACTGAAGCCTGGTGTCTGGTCCATTACTGAGAGCCTGTGCTCGCCAACCAAAACTAAGACCAACGAGCTGAATATCAAGCGAAGTTACAGAATGCACGAGGCCATCTTTGATATCGTTAAGTCAATTGCTAGCACTTTAATATATTGTAAGTTGGTTTTAATGAACTGTCTAATTGAACTGTTTGCAGGATTGTTTTCAGATGTATGATAGTTATTGCCTTTGTTATGTGAGCCGCCCTGATGGGGAAAAAATTTAAATAAATAAATAAAATAGCCCAAGTGACTAATTTCAGACACATAAGCACATTTGGGAGCACCAGATCACAAGAGAACTTCTCTCAATGGAAAGTTATAAAAATGGCTGGGGATCCCAGACATTCCTCTTACACAGAAGTTAACATTAATCATAGCAATAGGTTATAAAAACTCTGCTCTTCCGTGAGCATCAGTGTATTTGCACTGCTGGTCATGGAAACACTTTCTCTAAGTAGTTACAAGGGCTAGTTACAATTGCTACGGTGCTTCACCATACTTCAAGGCTATGCTGCTGGAATATGAAATATCTGTTTACCCCCAAGCGGAACTGACACAAAGAATTCGATGCCACCATCAAAGAATCTGAAGTATTTTGCTTGCCTTGCACTACCTAAAAGGTAGTGCAGCCGGTGGAACGCCTTCAGTGCCCATGTCAAAACCATAATAGGTATGACTCCATCACCAAATTACAGAGCAGCGGAGCCTTAAGAAACCTGCTTGATTAATTTGACATCCCTAATTAAAATTACTTGAATGAGACCAGAAGTATGCGTTGAATAAGACATGTATTGTAATGGGTGGAATGCAGAGTTGCAAAACTAATCACACGAACCCGGGAGTAGGTCCAGTTTAACTCAAAGGGACCTGTTTCTCCATAAACATGCATGTGGTTAAGATGCAGGTGGCCACTCAAAATAAAATAGGTTTTTACTGGGGGGGAAACACTTATTTCAAAGCTGTCACCGGCTTCTCCTCCTAGAACTTTCTTTCTCAAGGTGTCAGCAAGGATTACAAATGGAAAGTACAAATGTATTTGCATTTCCCTTTACGACTTCTGCAGCATTTTAATGTTAAGACATATAACCCTATCACTACACAAAAGAACTCCTGCAAACATCTAGAGTAACACAGAGCATGCAGAAAGGCATTGGGAGCATGTCTGTAGCCCCAAGAATTATGTTTGTTACATCCGAGGTAAGGCTGGACCAAGATCTACTAAATTTCTGGCTAAAAGGAACAAAGTTGTTTTAAAAGGGCAGGCTCCATCTTTCAGCCACTTTGGTTTTTCATCTCTGCATGAACTGGGAACTATGAACAGAACTTTGTTTCATTCCATGGCAAAGATTTCCTTATAGCCTTGGAAACAAGGACAGCATTATCAGAAAGCTCGATACAATCTTGGCTACAGCGGGGATTTCTTATAGCTTAGTACAATGATCTGCTGAGAACTTTTCAGACCTGTAGCCTAGGCATCCCCCCCCCCCCCATGATAGGCTGGCTTTCGGGGGGTTTATATTAGCCAGTTACCAAGGAGGAACTGGAAACCAGAGACCCTCTCTCTCTCCCTCTTTATGAATTCCAGACAAACAAAAGAGCCCAGAGCAAAGCTCCGAAGATTTCTAAAGCTTTTATTTGACCAGCTGCTACACTGACAAGTTCCAAAAAATTCAGGAGTAAGTGGGAAAGACTGTCACGTGCTTTTCACCTGAGAACTATGCGGGGGGGGGTGGTACTGGCAAACCAAAGAGAAAGTGAGAAGTCACAAATCTGAAAGGTGTAGATTTGGTTAATTAACACCGCTTATATTTTGCTAAATAGCAGGGGAGTGGAAACAGAGAGGCATGTCTCCAAGGAGCAGTGATTTTTTAAAGGCGGAACAACTAGATCTACTTAACCTTTTCATGTTCCGAATAAACGAGAGCGCTGAATACAGTTCTGCAGAACGCTGTGGATTGCATAAGATGTCAACTCCAAATGAGGAAACAGCATTTGATCCTAGGAAAAGCTGGGGAGGAGGAAGGGATGCATACATCTGCGACTGAGGCAAAGCTAAAACGAACAATGAATGTAAGCTACCCCCATGGGATAGGGGTACCAGATGTCTTTCCTTTTAGGGAAGTGCCCCTTATGCCAAGAACACCACAGCTCCACAGAATCATGAACACGGCCTTACTCATTTCAGGAAAGGAAACAAAGATTCAGGAATTGCTTCCATTTTCTGTTTTTTAAGTTTTGGCCAGAGTGTCGGAAAAGGCTGAAGACGTTGACTACAGCATTGATTTTAATGCCTGCTTTTGTCCTTCAAAGGTCATTAAATGGAATTAACTGGCAACAGGTGGCCAGCAGAGGGTAGGCCTCCAGGCAATTTTATTTAACCTTGTAACTCAAACCTTCTCGTGGGTTCGGAAAAGGGACTGAACAGGAAGCCTCCTGTTCTCTGCCTCTCACTCCCACAATGACACACAAAGCTCCTGGGTCTGAACTGAGGTGTTCTTCTCACCCCACCTCCAGGCGGACCGGGACACTTCCCACTCTGCCAACAGACGGCAGCCTCCTGACCTTCAAAGTATGCACTACGTCCATACTTGAGGTGAAAGAACCGTTCTGAAAACAGGGGTGTGCCCTAGACGACAGGGACATTCGCACAGATGCTATAAACCCTAAAATAAACAGGAGTCGCCTAGCACCTAAAAGACTAGCAACATTTTTATTCCAGCACAAACTTTTGTGCCCGCTTCTTCAGATGCTATAAATCCTCGTATCTCTGCCCTAGGGTGGAAATCACAAGGATTCCAAGCCAAGGTAAATTCACTGTGAACTATGGTGCTGGAGAAGACTCTTGAGAGTCCCTTGGACTTCAAGAAGATCAAATCAGCCAATCCTAAAAGAAATCAACCCTGACTGTTCCCAATCCCTGGAAGGCCAGATAATGAAACTGAAGCTCAAATACTTTGGCCACCAAAGGAGAAGGGAGCGCTCCCTGGAGAAGACCCTGATGCTGGGAAAGACTGAAGGTCAAAGAAGACGGGGAGGGCAAAGGATGAGATGGTTAGACAGTGTCATCGATGCAACGAACATGAAATGGAGCCAACTTCAGAGGACGGCGGCAGACAGGAGGGCCTGGCGTAATCTGGTCCATGGGGTCGCGAAGAGTCAGACTCCACTGTGCAACTGAACAACAACAACAAAGAGACCCAATCCTACCACAAGAGGCCTTAAGATTTCAGCAGAGAATTGTTAATAGCAGAGCCCTTACTGTGTGTGGGGGGGGGGGCAGAACAAGGAAGGGGCTAGCTAGGCAAAAGGGACACCCACTCTCACTTGCTTCCCAAACCAAAAAGCATAACTTCTCAGGAGTGAGGTCAAGGGTTAGGCAACCGATAGATATCTGAAGAAGTGTGCATGCACATGAAGGCTTATATCCAGAATTAGACTTGGTTGGTCTTAAAGGTGCCCACTGGACTCCAACTTGGTTCTATTGATAGATCCTGGGTTTAAGAAAGCATTCTAAAAAGCAGAAAGGGCCCTTGATCTAGTCCTGTCCCTACCCCCTGACAAAATTTCTCTAGCATGTTTCCCCGGCAACAAAGACAAGCGAGAACATATTTAGGGTGGGTGGGGGACAATTAAGTCCCCTTCCCCACCCACATAGCCAAGAATAGCCCACCAGAGATAACGCACACGCAGATAGCAAGATTTGCTCCCGAGTAAGCCTGCATAGCATCAAAGGACATTAAAAACAAAACCATTTTAGTAATATCTTTTCAGTATCACACTAACACAGTAGGGAGAGGAGTTGTGTTTCAAGCACCGCAAACAAATCCAAGTGTTTTTCAGTATTACACTAACTTAGAAGAAAGGTGGGATGAGAGATAAAAGTTTATCACTTAAACAAAGGCACGATAAAGGATTGCAACAGCTCACAAAGCTCCAAGCCCTACGAGAGAGCCAGCACAGTTAGGATCAATGCTCCCGCTACGCTGTGGAGTCATGTGAGCAAAAATCCTACTTTGTGAGCTCCTGGCATTTAAAGTTGCGAGCGAGCGGTCTGGCTGCTGCATAAATTAGTCTGCTCCGGAGCCCTCCTACCCTGCGCTGAGACCAAAAAATGTGAGAGCCGGAGGCTAAAAAGCTGCGAGTCAGCTCACAGTAGCTCAGCTAAGAGGGAACACTGGTTGAGTTAGTGTGAGCTAGCTCACAGTTTTTTAGCCTCCGGCTCTCACATTTTTGTCTTAGCTCAGGAAGGAGGGCTCCAGAGCAAACTAATTTATGCAGGAGCCAAATCGCCCGCTCACAAATTTAATGCCAGGAGCTCAAAAAGTAGAATTTGTGCTCACAAGACTCCACAGCTTAGAGGGAACACTGGTTGAGACCACCCTCCGTGCCTCGGATCGGCGTTGGCTGCAGGGCAGGCGCGAAGCTAAACCCACGAGGACCTCAGCACTGCTGCCGAACAACAGGGGAGAAGAGACAATAAGCACGGGGCAAAATAAATAAAACACATCGTTTCCTATCCAGTCTTCTTAACAATAACAATGCCTAAGAAGAGCAGCTGCTGCTGCAACGGGGGAGGGCAAAGTGACAGAGAGGGGGGGGGGGCGCGTTGGTGGAAAGACTCTCCTAAAAGCTGGTTCCCTAGGCAACAGGGACACGAGCTGCCCCCCCTCCAGGGGCTGTTCCATCCACCCCCCCCAGCTCCCTCTACAAGGGCTGTTCCGTCACCCCACCCTCCCCGGCTCTACCTCCTCCATCTCCCGGGCCATGCTCTGGAGTTGCTCCTCGTCGTCCAGCAGCTCGTTCAGCTGTTGCAGGCTCAGGCCCTCCAGCCGCTTCACGTCCACCGCCATGGCGGGCCCGGGATGAGGAGGGGAGAGAGAGAGACCCGGGCAAGCCGCCGCCGGTAGCCTCCGCGCTCCTTCTCCTCCCGGAGCGGAGGCAGTTCCGGCCCCTCCCGCCGCCCTGGGCGCTCCACCGGAAGTGCCGCGGCCGCTCTTCTGGGCTCCCTCCCTCTGACCTCACCGCCAAGACGACTGAGCCTGAGGAGGTGGGAGGGGAGGGGAATGGCTGAGCCGCCGCCGCCGCCGCCACGCCCCCTCGACCCGCCCCTCTGACGTCAGCAGCGCCTCCTGCTGGAGCGGGGCCGGGGAGGGGGAGAAAGAGGCGGGAAAACGCCTGAGGCGTCGCGCGATGGAAAAGCGCGGGAAGCCGCGCCTTAAAAGCAGGGCGAGATTGGCGTCCTGTCAGAGGCCCTTCTTAGAGACCGAAACAATAGAAAGCACCGTGTATAAACGTACAACAGATGCAATAATGCTTAATAAAAATATAAATTGTGTGCAATAAGTATAATCAGAATTTACAGAATGCATACAAATTCATATATAGGCAATCAGATAAGAACATAAGAGAAGCCAAATGTTGGATCAGGCCAGTGGCCCATCCAGTCCAACACTCTGTGTCACGGTGGCCAAATATACCAGGTGCCATCAGGAGGTCCAGCAGTGGGGCCAGGACACTAGAAGCCCCTCCCACTGTTGACCCCCCCCAAGCACCAAGAATACAGAGCATCACCTGCCCCAGCCTCTGAGTGCCTATCTATACCTTGTGGCTAAGAGCCACTGATGGACTTCTGCTCTGTATGTTTATCCAGCTCCCTCTTGAAGCCATCCATCACTAGCCTGATCCAACATTGGCTTCTCTTATGTTCTTATGTGCTGCTGGACTCTTGCTTTTTTCTACTGCTACAAACAAACATGGCTACCCATCTTGATAAGAGCATAACAGAAGCCACGTAGGATCAGGCCAATGGCCCATCCAGTCCAACACTCTGGGTCACATAGTGGCAAAACCCCAAGTGCCATCAGGAGGTTCACCAGCGGGGCCAGAACTCCAGTGGGGCTAGGGTTGCCAGGTCTGGGTTGGAAAATACCTGGAGACTTTGGGGGTGGATCCGGGAGAAGGTGGGGTTTGGGGAGGGGAGGGGGCTCAGCATGGTACAACGACATAGAGTTCACCCTCCGAAGCAGCCATTTTCTCCAGGGGAACGGATCTCTGTCAGCTGGAGATCAGTTGTAAAAGCGGGAGATCCCCAGGCCCCACCTGGAGGCTGGCAACCCTAAGGCAGGGCCCTCCCACTGTTGCCCCTCAAGCACCAAGAAGACAGAGCATCACTTCCCCAGACATAAGAACATAAGAGAAGCCATGCTGGATCAGGCCAATGGCCCATCCAGTCCAGCACTCTGGATCACACGGTGGCCAAAAACCAGGTGCCATCAGGAGGTCCACCAGCGGAGCCAGAACTCCAGAAGTCCTCCTACTCTTGCCACCCCCAAGAACCAAGGATACAGAGCAGCACTACCCCAAACATAAAAACATACAAGAAGCCATGTTGGATCAGGCCAGTTGCCCCTCAAGCACCAAGACGACAGCACGTCACTGCCCCAGACAGAGTGTTCCATCTATATCTTGTGTCTAATAGCTACTCATGGACCGCTGCTCCGTATGTTTATCCAGTGCCCTCTTGAAGCTGTCCATGCTTGATCTAAGGCCAAGGGTTCAGGGATCCTACTTGTGTCTGATGAAGCGAGGTTTGACTCTCCAAAACTCATACCCTGAAACTCCTGTTGGTCTCTAAGGTGCTGCTGGACTCGACTCTGGCTCTTTTACTGCAGACCAACACCCCACTTGAAATATACAAGGGAATCTGGCCCGTAACTACCATGGGGCCCATGGGGCCTGGCCCCCTCGTGTTTCTTATGGGCCTCCTCCCTCCCGGGCTGCCCCCAAAGTGCTCCAACTTACCACCTGCCCTGTGCTTTCATTTAATCAGCTGGCGGGGCCCCTGAGGCCCCCTCCCCCTAAATCCCCTAGCTACGGGGCTGAAGGGAATCCGCACGTGCCTTAAAGTCTGCACACACACATATACAAAGGTAGGTGTGCACAGATATTTATTCAATGTCTTATACAGGTTGAACTTTCCCCCGTTTTGTATTCCCCCTTGATTCTGGGAGAAAGACAACCTACAGGTGAAGTCAACAAAAGCATATATGTGTGTGTGCATGTCTGTGGACACATTATACACAGATATGTATATATCGTGCACATACATGTGCACACATCAAGGCCAGACTGCCCAGTTAGCTTACAGGAAAACTTCCCCATGGGCTGCTGATCTCAAGGTAGAGTTGTAAGCCGCCCTGAGCCGCTTCGGTGGGAGGGCGGGGTAAAAATCAAATAAATAAATAAAATAAATAAATAGAGTTGGCCACAGTGTTCCCTCTAAGCTGAGTTGGTGTGAGCTAGCTCATAGTTTTTTAGCCTCCAGCTCACACGTTTTTGTCTTCGCTCAGGAAGGGATGGCTGCAGACCAAACTAATTTATGCAGCAGCCAAATCGCTCTCTCACACCTGGAGGTTGGCAACTCTATGTGTGGATGTTGTGCGCATAGCTGCTTCACACAGGGAGCACCCCAACTGAAACCAGTGCCACATTTTTCGCTTCAGCGGTGTCATGTTATAATCGTTGCTAGTCTTTATGGTGCTACAAATGTTGTAGCTGACTCATGGCTCTCTGTGCCGGACTGGGAGGGGTCAAGGGAAGTGGCTTTGTGCCATTAAGTTTAGTTATACAACTGCGTAACAGTGACTGAGGGCGGGCACTCAACACACCTGTAACTTCCTCTGGCAGATTGCCGATATCAAATCCACAGGTTGCAACAAGCCCCCCAAATCTCACCCAAAAGTAAAGGAGAACCCTTGAGAAGATAGCGCTCTCTTTCAGCGGTAATGCACGACCCTTTCACACGAGCCTTTGACTTTTTACCTCTGTGGGTTGGGCTGCCAAGCGACTGTAGTGAGACCTTTGCAGCTACTGTTAAGGCATAGTGCCCAAGCCAACATGGGCATCACTTGGCACTCCCGCACATGCCCCACTCGAACTTTTCAGCTGTTTCTTGCAGCACTTTCTACTGGTGCAGTCTTATGAGAAGTATGAGAAGTAATCAGGGTTACCAACCTCCTGGTGGGGCCTGGAGATCTCCCAGAGCTTCAACAGATCTCCAGACTACAGAAATCAGTTCCTCTGGAGAAAATGGCTGCTTTGGAGAGTGGACACTATACTCTACCAACTTGACTCTCCCCAGCCTCCACCTCCCAAATCCATAGGAATCTGAATTTCCCAACTCAGACCTGGCAAGCTAGAAGCAATGGACCCATTTTTCCTGATCTTAGGGATACATTTCTCCTGGGAGGTTGGCAAGGAGCAAAACTTCCACTTTGCATCTTAACAGGTTTTTTCCCCTCTGGGAAGAGAACAGATTGGGAAGGAGGAAGTCTGTGCAATGGCTTCCCAAATGTGCCTTGGCTGCCTCTTAAGAAATGTGAATGGGTCTAGCTAAAGGCAATGGGATGGTCAAGCTTCCCCCTTCTTCCCCCCTTCTCCTAGCAGGGAACAGAGGTTTGGAGGAATTAAATGCTTGAATCTAGTAGGGTATCTCTTGGTATCATTTCTGACCTTGTTGATCTGTTTCCTTACTACTCAGTTGGGTATTGTAATTCCAAAAACGTCTTAGCTGGGAAGAACCTTGTAACATGACTCTCTCCTAGGGCTGCCAGCGCTGGGTTGGGAAATACGTGGAGATTTTGAGGGTGGCGCTTGAGGAGGGTGGGGTTTGGGGAGAGCAGGGACTTCAGTGTTGTATAGGGTTACCATATTCTGAAAAGCAAAAAAAGAGGACACATTTCCCAACTGACGACTTCAAACAAGTGGTCACTATGACAAATCTCCTTCTAAATACCTCTGCTATTTAAGCTGTGATAATTGTTCCTAACTAGGAATATTTCTAACCTGCCAACCCAAAAAAGAGGACATTTCTATCGTTTTTTTAAAAAGAGAAGAGGAGGAGATTGCATTTATACTCCACCCTTCACTACCTGAAGGAGTCTCAGAGCTGTTTATAATCCCTTTTCCTTCCCCTCCCCACAACAGACACCCTGTAAGGTAGGTGGGGCTGAGAGAGCTCTTTTGAGAACTGCTCTTGGGAGAACAGCTCTGAGAGAACTGTGGCTTGCCCAAGGTCACGCCAGCAGCTTCATGTGGAGGAGTGGGGAATCAAACCCAGTTCTCCCAGATTAGAGTCTGCGCTCCTAACCATTGCACCAAATTGGTTCTCAAAGAGCCCAAAAGAGGATGGACACTAAGAAATTAGGACACGTCCCCTAAAAAGAGGACATCTAGTAACCCTAATGGTGTATAATGTCACAGATTCCACCTGGCCAGGACTCCCTAGGCGCTAATAAATTGTACTCTTTCCCCTCCACACACCCACACACTTTGACTATGTCTACAGAGCCAAGTTATTTCCTGCAGAGGAATGTCCCCCATGAAAAAGGATTACCTGCTTTTTCCAGGAACGCTTTTGCTCCAGGCAAAAATTGCTCTCCCTAATTATTCAGATGTGAATGAGTTTTAGGATTCCTCGGGTGGAGTAACTGGGTGGCCTGCTGCTGTCTAGTTGGGTAAGACTCTTACCTTTCTGTGCAGAGACTCAGTTTTCTTGTTGGGTAAGAAGGACAATTAAAGTCAAATGGGAATAAGAGGGCACCGAGAAAGTTCAAGTACTGTCTCAGAGGCGTTATATATTCCTCCATGACCTCAGTAGGCAATTCCATGCAATGTCCTGAAGGGAAAATTAAAATACAGCATGCGAGAAAACAATTCTCCAGGTATTAATACATGATTTGGCCTTCCCATATTTTAAATAATCCGTCTTTCAAGAAACCGTAGTGTCGCATCCACTGCTGTTAATATAGGCATGCCAGGGGTCTTGTTGTAGAAAAAGAGCTGCCGGAGCTCATTAGCATAACTCATTAGCATAACTTATTTGCATATGCCACGCCCCCTTACATCACCGGAAGTGACAGAAGGCCACACCCCCTGACATCACCGGAAGTGTGTCAGAAGG